AAATCAATGTATAAGAATAGCATGTATTCGATATAATATATGCTCACATGAACAAAACCATTTCGATTAGAGTCTGTTTATTTTTATTTTTATATATAATATGTATAATTAATTAATAATAATCGATGTGTACACCACAATACATTTACTCTTTTCTTAATATAATAACTGAAATATACACGCATCTCTCTTATCTTTTTTTTATTTATTTTTATTCTAATATAGTTTAAATAGATAAAGTTTCATTTTTCCAAAATCTATTCTTTATCGCTTCAAAACACATATACACCACATTCATCATCTTATAAATCGTCTTTCTGAGGCACATTTTCTATGAGTAATTTTCATGAATCGAATTGTATATTTTTATTATTTATTTATTTTTTTCACAAAATCGTTCGTTTATTTGCTTTACATTTTCCCTCATTCTTTGTTTTCTTCCTTTTTCTTCATCCAAGAAAGATTAATGAGGGTTAAAAAAAGTCGAAAAAATTTCGTCGACTTTTTATGTTTCGTTAGTTTTTCATTTTTATACAATTGATCACAGATAATGCGAAAAAAGAAAAATTAATCAAAGTTAGGAACACGCCACATTGAATCTTGTACGGGTTCATTAAAATATCTAAATTTTTATCTATATTTAATATCTAAACATATTAATTTTAAATTATTATACTAATTTTAAATTGTTATACTAATTTTAAATTGTTATTATAATTTATTATACTAATCTATCTTTATATCATAAAATTTTATATTATAAAATAAAGTTACATGGGTATAAAGAAATATTTAATTTTGCCATCTAATTTTATGCTATACACATAATATTATTCACATAACCTCAATATCTAATTGAAATTATCTAAGATGCTAGATAAATTAACTAATAATAAAATTTAAACACTTCTTCATTAATATAATAAAGTATTAATAAAATATTTAAATAAATATTAATAATAAAAACAGAATCGCTTTTATGAACTCATACAAAATTCGAACGGTTCCCAAGCAAAGTCCTGGAAATAGGAATGACGCAATGTATGTTGCCCGAATTCGAGCGTCGAAGGCAGCCAACGTTGCAACATTACGTGAAATGCATACATATATATATAGAAGAAGTATGAAAAGAAGATGATGCAAATTTTATCTATTCCACGGTAATAGTAGTCAATCTCTTCGGCCGCTTTCCTGTCTTCTGTTTTCGATGGATCTCTCTAAAATCTACGTGACTTGATTCGCAGGACTCTAACATCGATAATTCGTCCCCATTTATAGTCTGTTCTTCTAATTTTCTTTTTCTAGACCTGGTCACTGGACCAGTTCTATTTTTATAAACTTCTGTATGTTGGACGTTTTGTTTTTTATATTTTTTTGATTTTGTTTCCTCATCTTCATCCCGTTTACGTCGTTTCTTAGCTGGTTCTTGATGTATAATCCTTGGTGAATTTGAATCGGAAGAAGAAGATAAGGAACTGAGGTATTCATTTACTTTGTCTTCGCCGAAATCAAAAGCATTTGGTTGGGCTGGTGAAACGGATGTTGCAACGTTAGCAGTGTTACTAGGTGGTCGAAGGAGCTGCATAGAGGGACTCGATGAAGTAGTAGAAGCAGACGACGATACGGAACTAGAAGTGGAACGCTTATGCAGCTTCCTGCGCTGTGCAAGCCTCGCGCCATCTACTTCACGCAATCGGAAGCCTTCCGGTTTCTCCAACAAAGCATTCGAATTATCCAATACA